CATAATAAAATCTTAACATTAAATTTATAGGATGTTGATTGTATCATATTACTAAATAATATTCATATGGTTTTTAAGTTCTTTCTATAAAAATCCTACCCTCAATTCAGACTCAGCACTATTTTGCCACGAGTATACAAAAATATTTGCTAACTGTGAATGCAAGGTTATACATTTTTATAATGTAGAATTAAAATTTATTAATTAAAGGAATAAGTGAATCCATATCTTAAAAGTTTAGAATTTAACATAGGTTACAACTATCTTTAATAATCACTTTGCATATTTTTATCAAATATTAAGCAGGATAAAAGGAACAACGATTATGAGAATGAAAATATCGATTTGTTTTTTTGTTTGGACTGAAATTTTATTTTAACATGTTAACAATTTATATTTTTGTCCAATTGCGTCAAACAATTCAAAAACTTTAAAAATAACGATTATGACTATTGTCACTTATCTAGGGTACATCTTCACTGAAATATTATTTTAACAAGTTAGCAATTTATATTTTAGCCCATTTGCTTCAGAAAAATTTAAAAACTTTTAAAAATAACGATTATGACAATCGTCACTTTTATATGGTACATCTTTATGAAATTTTAATTTGACATTTTTACAATCTATATTTTTACCCTTTTGTATCAAAAAATTTCAAAAAACTTTAAAAACAACAATTATGACAATTGTCACTTATCTATGGTACATCTTCATTGATATTTTATTTTAACATGTTAGCAATTTCTATTTTTGCCCATTTGCTTCAAAAAAATTCAAAAAACTTTAAAAAGAACGATTATGACAATTGTCACTTATCTAGGGTACATCTTCACTGAAGTTTTATTTAAACATGTTAGCAATTTATTTTTTGCCCATTTGCGTCAAAAAAATTCAAAAAACTTTAAAAATGATTATGACAATTGTCACTTATCTTGGGTACATCTTCACTGAAGTTTTTATTAAACATGTTATCAATACTTATTTTGGCCCATATACGTCAAAAAAAGTTTAAAAATAACGATTATAACTTTTCTGTGGTACATCTTCATGAAATTTTAATTTAACAAGTTTACAATCTATATTTTTACCCATTTGCATCAAAAAAATTCAAAAAACTTTAAAAATAAGGATTATGACAATTGTCACTTATCTAGGGTACATCTTCACTGAAGTTTTATTAATACATATTAACAATACTTATTTTAACCGATTTACGAAAAAATTTAAAAAAACTTAAAAAATAAGGATTATGATAATTGTCACTTTTATATAGTGCATCTTAATTAAAATTTTAATTTAACATGTTAAAAATACATATTTTACCTTAAAAAAAATCTAATATGTTTAAAATACCTATTATGATAATTGTCATTTTTCCAAGGAACATCTTCCATAACGAATATAAAAATTGTCAGATTAAATAATTATCCTTAAAAAGATCATATACATAAATAAGTTAAATAAAAATATTTTAAATATTATTTAGAAAACCCACCTCTTTTAATATACTTAAAATTACAAAAATGATAAAAAAAACTATAAAATTTTCACCTAAAAGGTTGTTTATTTATTTATAATAAAATTCACAAAAGAATTCCTCAAAAAAGATTTAAATTTTTATCAAAATATGTTTAAAAATCTTTTTGAACTTCAAAAAATATTTTTTGCTTAAAATTTTGGGCGTGTGAAAATCACTAATAAATTGTAACAAAAATAATATTACAATAGTAGCATATCATTTTTTTTATTAAAAAAATATCAAATATAAAAGAAATCCATTTTTTATTTCATAATATAATAATATAAATAAAAAATATATATCATATAATATGTTTATTTGTTGATAAGTAAAATATTAACATTAAATATAAATAAAATAAATTATTTTAATAAAAATAAAAAAATAATAATAGGCCGCGTTATATTTCGCGAAATAGTTTTCGCTATATTGTCTTCGCGATTTATGTTTCGCGATATTGACTTCGCTATAAATTTTCGCGATTATTGATTCGCGATAAAAATTTTGCTCTAATGTATTCGCTTTAAAGGTTTTGCGATAAGAGTTTCGCTATAAAAAAATTCGCGATATTTGTTTTCGCTGAAAAATATTCGCTAATGTGGATTTGCGATAAGTTTCACTATAGAATTCATACGCGATAAAAGTTTCGCTGAATTGATATGTAACCAAGTAATCAGTCATATTTAACAAATAATATTGGTATTATCAAGTAAATGCTTTAAATTTATTTTTACTCAAACCATAGCACTTAGTTTTAATGGATTAAACCTGGCCTGAAGGGCTGAGGGGGTAAGAAGAATAAAAATTGGATATTATTTTCAAATAACAGGTAACATGCATAAAAGTAAGAAGAAAATTTTCATTCCCCGTCATTTTTGACGGGCTATCTACTAGTAATTTATGACCTAACGATGAAATGCCTAAAACCTTATGATGATATTTGATAATAATGTTGCGATGCCTTTCGTTTAATCGAGGCCTTAGTCTTTATATATAACATGACACGCGAGTACAATATTTTATTTATATATTTTGAAGATCAAAAATTACCTTGTATAATTTTAAATTCCGGTAAATTTTATCAATATTATGACTATCTTTTAAATATAAATATCTTCAAAGTTAAATTGTCAATATGTGTAAAAGAATCACATTTTATGAGCTGCATAATGTTTATTTTATAACAGATTATTAAGTGGTATATAAAAGATGTTTAGAAAACCTTGTTATTTTTGTAATAGTTTTCATGCTATTAGAAATTGTCCAGCATACGGAAAAACGTGCAACAACATATGTAAGAAATCAAACCACTTTGCCGTGTTTTGTAACACTAGAAGGATGTTCGGTTCGGGTTCGGCTCAGCGAAATATTTTTGAACCCGGGTTTGGTTCCGGTTTCAGCTCGGGTTTAAGAATTTTTAAATTGATAAAAAAAAATTCTATATTTAAATCATAATTAAAAAAACTAGACATAAATTTGGTATAAAAAATTAATTTTTTATTTTATTTATAGGCAAAATATAGTTAAAAATACAAAGCATAGTCATATATAGATTTAAAAAATTTTATTTAGATGTATTTCTTAAATTACAATATCCAATTAAATAATTTTTACTTTGACTTGTTCACTTTCATTTTCCTCTAATTATAATCTTTGAGAATAAGTTAAAAATTAAAAAAAAATGGCGTAAATGAATTTAATTGTTTAAATTTATTAACAGTCCAATAAGAATCTTTGAAAATAAATTTAAAAATGGAGTAAATGAATTAAGTTGTTTAAAATTAACACTTCACTTAAATGGAAATTTGAAAATATTATAAAATATCAGGTAAATTATTAATAATACAAATATCTTATATTAATTTAAACAATACACTGAACCAGGTTTAACCCGGGTTCAAATAAAATCCGCGGGTTCAGTTTGGGTTTTTGAAAATTTATAAACGGGGTTTAAGTTTGGTTTGGGTTCAAATTCTTTCCCAAAAATCCAGGTTTTCCTTTCCGGGCTCGGTTTCGATTCAAACCCCTGCTCTTAATAATCTTTGTTTTTATTGTTTTAGTAAAAATAACATATGCAGCTCTGTAATATAGAACATCTCTTCAATATTGCTGATATTTAATGTTTTTAAAAAAGGAATTTAGAATAATATCTTATTTGATAAAATTTTGTCTCACAAAATAATTTCTTTAAATAACAAAATATCAGATCAATTGATTTGCCTTTTCAATAATAAATAAAGCTAATCAATTTTTTAAAAAGTCTAAATAGATCTCTAATAAAATATTAATTCTAACAAATATAATAAATTAACAACTGTTAGTGCTTCCAAATTGAGCATTAGTTTATAAGTTGTTTTTTTAGTATATAAAAAACACATACCTCAATATTGTTCAAATTAAAGCGGTATTAATTTTGTAAATAGGTGACAAAAATTATATTAAAATATACGTTTTTTAATAATATAAAAAGTTAAAAAAAAAAACTCCTTAATTTGGAAGCACTATAAAGAATAAAATGATACTGGTAGTTTAAAATATAATAAAGTATCAACTGTGAATAAAAGGTCAAATAAGGATTATTGTTACTGAACACCATGCCAGTAAATAGTCACATTCTAAAATAAATGATATTTTAAATTAGTTAAAATAAAAGGAATCTACATAAAGTCCACCTGATGTATGATAGTGGGGTTGGAATATATTAAATATAGAGGAATATTTGATTTTGGTTAGATAAAAAGATATTTTTGTGCAAAATTGAAGATTAATAAATTATTTGGAATAAAATTTTATAAGTAGTCGCAAAGGGAAAGAATAATTGAAATAGTGTGCCTAAAATAAGCACATTCAAAATGTGCTATTTATGATATAATCTTTTACATTCTGGTATTGTATTGATTAGTTTATATTAAAAGTGAAGAATAGATGTCAAAATTGCAATATTTTGTTCAATTAAACAATATAGTTATGTTTAATTTTATTTTAACCACTTTGCCACTTGACCCTGGGTATGGGGTAAAATGGTATAAATCACACACTTCACATAATTAACCACAGCTCCTAATGTATTTATAGGTAGAGAGCTACACTTGTTTTTATTTCTAAATGAGGACTGCATATAAATATATAAGATGTTTTGTTAATTTTTCGAAATATTAAAAATGCAAAATACCAATTGTTTTACCCTGACTGCTGACTTTTATTGTTTATTTCTTATTTGAATTTCATAAATAAATTATGAATGATAAATAAATTTTAAAAATAATATTGGTAAATCATATCTTTGACTTTTCAATAAATAACTACATTATTATTTTTGGCATTGGGTACTAGTGGTTTATAGCCAATACCATGTATATGCTAAAAAAAAAGATAATTGGATATCTGATTAATATTTAAAAAAATTTTTAAATAATAAATGCTTCATGATTATAGTTATATCAATATATTAAATATTTATACATTCACAATAATTTACCATTTTTGTGGAAATATAATTGGTATGATACAAAGGTTGAGGATCTATACTTTTAAATTCCGGTATAGAATGATAAGAATTACTAGAATTTTGTGAATACTTTTCATTAGGTAAACAAATATTATGTCCAAAAGAAGCTTGGGTTGCTAAAAAATTATTCTCCATTGGACTATTGATTATTTGTGAATTTGAGGTTGTAAAACATTGACTTACAGCAAAAGATACTTTACTTTGACTATTATTGGATGCCATGTAATCTTTTATATTGATACTATCAAAACAAGAATTATTACTTATTGGATTATAAGAAAATGGTTTGATAAAGTCTTGTTCAATATGTGGAAGGTTAAATGCAGGTGTACTATAATTGCTATAATTATAATTGTAACTACTACAAGGATTTTTTTGGAATGCAAATAGATCATAATTATTATCAACATTATTATAATTATTATCATCATTATTATAATTAAAATTATCATTTGATAAATTAAAAGGCATACAAAAATTTTGGTTATTAGTATCATAATCAAAAATATTATTTTTATAATTGTCATTAATTGCTTGAATATTATTAACTGATGTTATGCTATGATCTATAAGATTTAAGCTTTTTTCTTTATTATCATTGCTTTCCATTAGGGTGTAATCTTTGCAATCAACATTTGATAAATTTGAAAGAATAGGAATATTACTATGATTTGGAAACTGATCTATTTTGGAATGATAGACACTTTGCATCATTGAATTATTATTTGATTTATTTATAACTGGATCAAATTCATTAGGATTTAAAAAATTACATAAATTTTCCAAATAATGGTAACCATTTAAATTTTGGTTTGAGTTTGTTAAAGAAGAGTTATAATTTTCATTGTAACTTGTAGATTTATCTACAAATATTATAGTTCTAATAAAATACAAAATGCATATTAACTTGAGCTTAACAATTTTTCATGCTCATGATTGTTATCAAATTGATCTTTCCATGGATATAATATACTTCTAAAAAAACAGTATAATAAATAATAATAAAATATTTTATACTGTATCTTAATTTTTTCTTTTAAGCTATCCACTCTTTTCGTGTAAGCATCTGCATAATTTAATTATTTATTTTTTTAATAATAAATTAGCAATATTTACTTTCCCAATTATAAAGTGAATTAAACCCTTTACATATCCCATTAGCCCAAATTTGAATTTCTTTTTCAATAATCTCATTATTTATTATTTCACATTTATTAGATCTATAATAACTATATTTACTTAGCTTTAGAGAATATATTACTTTTTTATACGTTTGTTATGGTGAATTGTTGAATTACTACTCATAATACAACTTGATTTTCAAAAATAATAAGGCAAATTTGTTTATGCTAACTTTCATAAAAAATTTAATAATAGAAGAATTTCGAAATATTTTGCGAAAGCTTGATTGGTTACTAGCCCTCTTAAGACCCACATTTCAGTATATTTAATTTTTATCGTATAACCTCTATTTATTTTTATAAACATATTTTTACCATTAGTAAATAAAATATAGCCATTACGGCTCTATTTTATACTTTTAAATCTTGACTAATTTTATATTAGTGAATATTTTTATTGTATTCGTTTTTTTTAAAATTGTTTATTTAATATAGAAAATATTATATTTAATAGTCCCTGAATTATTTAAGGCTATCAAAATTTTATAAATTAGATAGAGGGGAAAATGAACCTGTCGTCTTGTAGTTTATTTTTTTATTATTTAATGTTTATAACCAGGATGTGAACCCAAACCCTCATATTTTTCTTAAAACCAAACTTAGACGATTTTTAAAAGTGGAGAGCTAGAAAGTTTTAGGTGTCAAAAAATTTAGTACATGAAAAAAAAATTCAAAAATTATTTTAATTGATTTTTTTTCTTCGCATTTATCATAATTTTTTGGTTTTCATCTTATATTTTATATCTATTATGAGTGAATCTTTATACTAAGAATATATTAGTAATACATTTTATCTTGCTTTAATTTATATTAATATTAAAATTGAAATAATTTGATAATTTATTAATAAGCTATATAATAGGTATATGTTGCTTATCTGTTTTATATCAATTTTAGAAAGTGAAATATTTTAATTTTTTAGTATAGGTAAGAATATTTCATTATAAATTATATTAAGGCTATGATTATTTTGGGCAAGAAATTAATTATATGGGCAGTGTTTTAGTTATAGAAAAATAAATATTTTAGGTAAAATTTATAAATTATTGAGCAGTAACATAATTAAATAAAGTTGAGTTATAATATAATATAAAATTCATCATTATTAATTTGAAAATTATAAATATTTTGTAAAAATAAATCTTTTAATTATGAGTTATCAAGTATATTATACATAAAGCTAGCCAGGATTTTCCTAGGGGGGGGGGATTAATAAATCTGAGAGCTTTGACCTCCAGACCATTCCTTTGGGGAAATTTTGTCCCTCTTTTTTCCCGGTCTTTAACAGGGTTTTCTTAACCTCTAAAATTTATTTTTATAAGGTCAATTAATAAAAACAACACATTAATTAAAATGAAAGAAATTAAATAATATTTTTGTTTTGTAACTTTTTTATATATAAATGATTTTCCCAGAAAATATGTGTAGTATTTGGACCGATGGGTCCCCCAGTCTGAATGGGAAAAATACAGTCCGTGATCGGGGGTCCGGGATGGTCGATGACGGGATCCAGGGGGCTGGGTTTTATCGATTTAGTCATGGAATCACTTGGACAACGTAGTTAAAATAATATTTTCAAAGTTTATTCAACAAAGTAAAATCGATGTTATAAAAAATATAAATTTTCAAAACGAAAGAAAAATAATTCCACCAAAAAGGTGTTTTGTTTTCAACCTTTATAATTTTTAAAACAAAAAGGGAAAAAAAAGTTCTTATTTAATCGCGATACAATCATTCATGAAACTGGTAAGAACCAGTTTCAAATGCAATATAAAAATAAGGTATAATATATCAATTTCATAACAAAATAAAGGAAGATGGGAAAACAAAAGAAACAAGTGGAGAAAAACGTAAAGAAAAGAAATAAGTTGTACGGGACAAGGGGGGGGGGGGGAGGTAGAACATAACAATATATGCATTATAGTCATTAGTTTTAGATTAAAAAATTGTTAACTTTTGCATATTTTCCTTCAAATGATTAAGATATATGAATATATTGTCAGGGGGTGGGGAGGAGGCTAATTAAGATATTTTTTATTAACTTAAGATGATATTTTAAAAAAAGTAATATATATCTGAAGGAAGGGAGGTAGGGGTTCCGCATATGATATTATATATATAATCCAATCATAAATGAGCCCATGTGGTATATTGTGTCCATAGGCGTAGCCGGGGGGGGGGGAAGAGACATGGAAATCCCCTCCCCTTCGTTCAGAAATTTATCATTTTTTGTGAATATCATTTTAAGATAATAAAAAACATCCCCCTTAGGCCCCACTCCCTGATCCCTAACAATGCATGCATATATCTTAAACAATAATTTGAAAGAAAGAATGTAAAAGTTGATATTTTTTTATAAAACTATTTATCATAATTTATACATTTTTGGAAAAAAGCATTTGTATATAAAAAAAGTGAACCAAAAATGTTTTTTAAGAAATGGAACCAAAGATAATATTATAATTATTAATAATAGATCCATAAAATTACTAAATAATAAAATATATCAAATATAATTTTTTATAAAGTGAGTAATTTATTTATCTTAATAAAAGTAAAATATAATTAGAAAACTATTGATAAAATTAAATCATAAATTAAATAAAAAAATTAAATCACAATACAAACAGTGGAATATTATATGTTGTAGATTTACAGTATATACAATTTTATCAATTATCATGACAATCAAATAATTTTAACCAATATAGCGAATTATATATTTTACAGAAAACTATAAAATATTGATAAGGACATCAGAAAATATCATTTAAAGAGATTGTAAGATGAATAAGAACGGTCCGATTAAAATCAAAGTAATATTATGCAAGTCTGGAATTTTGTTCATAGATGAAGAAAGATTTGAACATCAATTCACTAAATGACGAGGATTACATAATATTATTTTGTCTAAAATTTTAATCGGCCCGTTTTAAAAATCAACCCAAATCGGGCATTTTAACTACACTAAAATATGATGATCCTATTATTAATATTACGCAAACCTCGACATTTTGCTAATAGATGTCCAAACCTTTGTGCCCTCTATGACCTCAATCTTAAGGCTTGCGTGATATTTTTCTGGATAAAATATTGAATTAGTAGTGTTGTTAAATAGTCGAGTTTTTACGACTCTGAACTCAAGTTGGAGTCGCAAAACTCATTTCAAATTGAGCGGCTCAATGAGCCGCATGAGTCGACTCGATGAGTCGGCTTCAGAGTCGGAAAAAATTTATTTTGAATCCGCCTGCTATTATTATTTACTCCACGATAAAATATTTAAAAAATTTAACCACTATGGTTCGAGAATTTAAATATTTTAAAATTCAAAATGACTTATGTATAGTGTTAATTTGCTTATTAAAATTTACAACCAAATTATGGGCTCAGAGCATTCAAATCTAACAATCATTTATCTTAATTATATATATATTTGTATATGCGATATCAGCTCAATAAATTTTTTAAGTCAGTTTCTGTATTGATATTCAATAGTTGATGTATCGGTATGTAGATACGTTTTTAAAAGATGTATTTAGTAATTATAAATATGGTTAACTCAGTATTTTATCCATCAAAAATATTATGCAAGCCTGAAGATTTTGCTCATAACTAGAAATCTCAAGCTAGGTAATTTTTTTGGAAAATATTTAGTTGACCATTTTTAAAAATAAGCTCAAATGGGGATATTTTGCATCACAGATGTATTTATATTTATATCCATTTTTAGACGATGAATCTGGAACCATTTACAAAGTATAGAGTAGCATAAAAAATTGTATTCCTATTAGGGATTTGTAAAACACCACCTGGCCCGGGTATATTTTCTAGTGTTGTTAAACGGCTCAATTTGAGCCGATTTTTAAAAACGGCTAACTCAATATTTTATCCAGAAAAATATTATGCAAGCCTAAAGATTTTGCTCATAGATGGCACTCCGACTCATCAAGCCGACTCTAAGACGACTCATCGAGCCGACTCTGAAGCCGATTAATCGAGCCGACTCTGAAGCCGTTTTTAAAACCAGGCTCAAATCAAGCCGTTTATCAATACAACCTATTGATTTTAATTAATATTATATATAAAAAATATCTTTAATCTAAAGTTAATAAGATTATACTTTATGATTATTATGGCTAATTAATCCTTAATCATTCATTCCTATAAATAATCAACTATAATTATTAAATGATAATTGTACTAAATTAGGCAATTAAGTTCCAATTTATTTTTGTAAAATGACTTAAAGTTTAATGATATACAAAAAATATTTTAAATTCATCGGGTATTTTTTGCTAACAAAAAAATTTCGAAGGAGACATTCAACAATAATATAAGCATTGTAGTAAAATAATTAATTATCCCGAGTCTCCCCTTTTCCCTGATCATGTTTTAATATTTTTGATATTGGCTCATGCTTTATCAGGAGAAATAAAGTTTATTTAAAAAATTTAAATAAAACCATTTAAATATATGTCAAGCTCTTATTTGTTATTTGTGTCATAATGAAGGACTTATTTTTAGGTTTATTTTAAAATTGATAACAGTAAAAAAAAATTATTATTTTTTAGTCATAATCCATTGAAGCGAGAGCGACTATATCTCGGAAAATCTGTAGTTGATTTCTATTAGAAAACACAAAGGGGAACAGTCAAAAGCTGTACTATAAAATAGTATTTTAAAAGAAATTTGCGAAAATCATAGGTGTATATTTTTAAAGTTTACATAAAGTAAAGAGAAGTCGCTTTATAATATAAAATTTAAACTACGTTTGGATTAGAAATTAGTTACTGTTTAATGGGGCTTTAGGTATGTAATATGTATATATTGTCTAAAATTAAAAGACAAGAATCTATAAATTTTATTTTTATTTTAACATTATAAGTGTAATATGAAATTGTCCCTTTTCATACAATCATACATTTAATTAAAAATATTATAATTTATAAATTATAATTATATAATTAAAAATAAAATTCTATAATTGAGTCCCCCAAAAGGAACCATAATTGTGTCTAAAAATTTCTATTTGAATTTTTTGTCGAATAAAAAGGAATTCTCTTGGTTCATTTGTGAAAAGTCGTATTTTATTAGCAAGATTTTTTAAAAACAAAAATGTTGAAGGCGAAAAATGCCCGTTAGTAGAAGTCACAACTGGAGTGAATAAAAAGTTTTTAAAATTTTTGTATTTGTTTATCTTTTTAATTTCAGCCTGTGTTATTAAATTGAAATTTATGTTTGAAGGGAATGATGAAACACACGTGTAGTCCCATATGAGTGATTTGCCGAGGGCCCAAGGTATGGTTGTCATACCATCAGGTCTTAAACCATCTACTTGAGATAAATTTGATGGTTCGAGATTGTTAGGAATGTGTGCAGCTGTTAAGCTTCTATTTATTATATGGTTTACAGCTGAGTGGCGTTGATGTCGCCCTTGACTAAAAATGCAATTTAAGCCATGTCTACCCTTTGAATCAACGGGTGATTTGCATTTGACGCAGGCATGAGGCTGTACTATATCGCAACCTAGACGTAGACCAATGGTTACTCTCAGTTGTTCATCTGATAAGAGATTACCAAGGTTGCGACTAGGGAGTGATTCTAACCATTCATGACCACCAAGTCTGTCAGATAATTGAAGGAGTTGAATGCAATCTAAAGGTGGATTGACTGATATATCTGTCTGGTATTTAGAGATTAAAGGTGTGAAAAATTTTTTGTGTGTGATGATTGATGGTAATACGGTGTTAATGGGTGTGTTTGCCTTCCATTTGTCAATAGCGTCGTCTAATAAACGATCGGTAGGGCATATGAAGCCAGAAATAATAGAATTGTTAGATAATCTAGATGATACGAATGATGATAAGGATAAAAGATTGAGCGGAAAAAAATCTAAACCTCCTAGTTTAGAAGGTAGCTGAGCAAGTGACCAATTGAATGAGTTTAAATTCATGTTTAAAATTTTTTCCAAAAATATTTTAAATTTATCCTGAATTTTAGATATGAATTCATTGTTTTTGAAAAAAGATGATGATCGGAAAATATGCATAAATTTAGGTATGTACAGGCATTTGCGAATTAAAAATAAAGATTGATGAGCTGGTAGGAGACTAAGAATGTGCTCCATACTGTAAAAGCTTTTAAAAATCTTGTTGAGAAAATCTTCCGATTTGGTCGCATTAGCTAATGGGGACCCAAGTAAGGTTAAGCTGTCAGGAGCAATGATTTTGTAGCCTTCCAACTTTTGTGGCTTATTGTTTAAGAAACATAATTCTGTTTTATTTATGTTGAGTACCAGGCCGATAGCTTGGGAATTGATTTCCAGGTGTTTTAAGGCGCTTAGTACATTAGCTGAAGGGCCACATATGGTCCCATCGTCTAAATACCATAGATTAAGATCTAGGTTAAAATTTTGTTTAATTTGGTAGATGAGATGATGGATTCCAAAACAAAAAAGAAGAGGTCCTAATGGATCCCCTTGTTGGATGCCCTCTTGGGATAAAATCTGATAAGATCCATATGTCAAAGGCGTCTGAAAACCATATGAGGATTCAATAAATTTAGAATAACAGGGAAATGTTTCATAGAAGAATTTTAAAAATGAGGTACGATGTAGGCTATTGAAGGCATTTTTAAAATCTAGTTTACATATTACAGAATCAGGTGGTGGGTTTTCTAAGTAAATTCTTAATGTATGAGCCGCTATTTCACAGCCAGTGTAAGCTATTGTGGAATAAACATGGGCTATCTTCAAATTGTGCAGCGGGTATAACAAGATGGAACTCTTTTTATAACTCCATGAAATTAATAGATCGTCTTATTAAGGAGAATTGAAAATTTGACGAATCTTATGATAAATCGGAATTATATAGATTTTCAGATAACGACAAGTCGTTCTTGGATGAATATTGTATAGTTAATGGTAATTAAAATATGATATGTATGTATATGATAAACGATTGCTACTTTCAATTTTAGAGATACAGTTCAAATATTGCTTACAATTTATGGTGATTATCTTTTATTTTCAATAGATTCAAACACATCTATAAAGATGTATATACTATCCATAACAACTGCTAGTTAAATTGGATTGGCCCTGGATAAAATTAAAGGTCAACAAAGGAAGAATATTAGAACTTATTTCCAGTTTGAGAAAAGATCTTGATAAAAAAAGAGCAGACTTAATTCCTTTATCCAACACACATACCAAAATATTTTCTGATAAAGATAAATATTTTTTTTAATGAGGAAATGAATGAAGATCCTTGTGAAGATGATCTATTAAGCTTTTATCAGAATAATCTATAAATAATTTTAATAAATTCCCTGAATTAAAATTTTTATTGATTAAATATAATTCAACTCTTCCATCCTCTGTGTCAATTGAACGTGTTTAACACGGCGAAAGCTGTGTTGAGCTCTAAACACTTTTGTTTGTCTGATCAAGATTTTGAAAATCAATTGTTGCTAAAAATAAATAAAAAATTGTTACAAAAAGATGTTATCTTATGAATAATATATTATTTTTGTATAATTTTATTTATACTATATATTGTAGAAAAAAAATTTTGTATATAATATTTAATTCGTAACGAGTAACCCATTTTTTTGAATAGTCTGTAATTACATGTTCCTTTTTTAAAAACGTAACGAAGACGTAACAAGTAATAGTAATAGGTTTCTTTTTTGTAGTAACGTTTTGTATTTTTTCACAAGTTTAAAGTAGTTAATTGCCTATATAATTTAGCATAAAATTTTTGTATAAGTATTTATTATAAAATAAAAAAATAGATTTTTTTTTTATTTAAGCTGACTTCTTTTTTCTATTATCTTTCATGATAACTTTATTGTTATACAGAATAGGAAGTGCATTTTTAAATTATCTTGATTTCCAGTTAACAATAATGCTCTTTAAATAACTAGATCCTGCAGTTAAAAGATAATCTTTTAAATATTCTCCAACTAATCATTTTATTAATTTTTATTCAGAGCTTCTTAATCCCCACTACTTTCCTCAGAACAATGGCATATAATATCATATTTCTTGATTTATTTCATACTTATAACGTTTTAAATGTATATTATAATTTGTTGAACAAAAAAATATCCTTCACCAATATTATTTTCTTTACTAGAGAAAACCAAATCAAATTAATTTTACCTAAAATTATGTAGACTACAGTTGATTATAAAGATATAAGTAACACTGATGTTTGATATAATTTCAAATTTTATTTTAAATTATCTTGTTCTAAATATAAAATCCATAATAACATACAATAAATATATTGAAAAAATTAATTTACATATCTTAATGAAGGATATCAAAATATGCATCTGAACCATAAGCATTTGTTGTAGAAAGATTATAAAATTCTTCATAATTTGGAGGGAAATATTCATTGGGAGGGAGTGTTTTGTAAATTTTTTCCTTGTATAATTTACCAGTCTCCCAATCAGGAATATCTTTCATTAATTCTTTTTCAGCTTGAAACTTATTTTTTAAGTGTCTCAAAAACCTATAAAATGATTATAGATAAGATATATTTTTATTTTAAACAATCTATCATTTTCAGCAGCATATAATGGCATTAATGATATCTTAGCATCATTAATATCAGATAGTAATAATCTATAAATAAAAGTTATCTTAGTTTATTAATTATAAATACTGTTTATATTCTTTATTTTTTTGAAGGGCAAACACTGTAAATAATTGACTAAGTGCATAAGTTCCCAACCAAAACCACCCTAGTATGATGATAAGTATTTGTTTAATGTTTTAATTTACCATTATATTTCTTAACACCAGGTTGCCGAACAAATGTGGTAAACTTATAACCACCATCAGGTGGCATATCTTGTTTATAAGTTACTACCATTTGCGAGAAGCACTATTTCATAATTTCATATTATTTCTACAGCTATTTTGCTAAGATAAGAAAATTGATAACTTGTTAAACATCTTGTGACAGATTTATATATGACATTTATAAACTAACATTTGATATCTGTCAAATATTGATAAAAATATTATAAATTTACTGTGCAATTATTATTATTTTTTAAAATAAATGTCTAATATGTTGTGTTCTGATATGGAACAGAGGAATTTTAGCGTTTCTGTTCTGTTCTCGTTTTGATCGATAGTTTAGGCGCATATCTTGGATTATGGGGAAGGGGGAAGGGTAATTTTTTATATAAAAATGTATTAGAACTAATCATCATAATAACAATGCAACTTATTGGTTTTATTTCACATTATTGATGCCCAATGATATATATATATATAATTGTTGATGCCATAATTATATATTCACATAATTATGAATCCATAATATATGAAACATATATATATATATATAATACAAAAAATTTAGAATCAAATCATTTTAGAAACTATTCCCGTTAGATGACCTGAATGCATTCTTTTGCCCCTAATCATATTCGCCAGAAGTCACCTTACCCAATTCTGCACCAACTTTATCGCCAATTGTACACAGACAGCTCACATGGTGCTAAAAGTTGAACAAATTTCAAATTATATTATACTTTAAAATAATCACCATTTTATGCTTGTAAACTAAATGGTATTTATACCGTTTCATATACGTTTCAAGTAAATAGAATTTTTGAAACAAGGTAAATGTCATTTGTTTAACATGTAGACCATAATATAGCGTTTACAACTGACTTCTATTTACATACATTGAAATTTAAATAGTATTAAATATCGCAAACATGAGATTTAAAAAAATATATATTTTTACTGGTTAAACTTCAATTTTCTATAACTACCCTCCAATAGAAAGAGGGAATTGGATTTCTTAATTCGTTGAAGATATAATAATTTTTACAGTAAATGTTTTGCCAATTTAAGGAAAACTTGATAAGTTTTTTCCTCCGAATGTTTTTAGTAGCTAATTTATAGCAATTAAAGTATCCTGATAGTTTATTTTAAAAGAATGTGTATGAAAATTTTATTATTCATTTAAAAAATGCAGATTATCATAATAAGAATTTTAAAGATGTAAATTGTTAAATGATGTGATATAATTTTTATTAGTAGGCGCATGTTTATAGATTCTTTTATGATGCTCCTTTTTGTGTTTATTCTTTTTCTACTTACAATTTATTAACTTACACAAAAATATGAAATGCGTTTTTTTCTGGTTTCTAATTTTTCTACTTTTTATATAATTTCCTGTTTTTTTTTACAATTATAAATTATAGGGTTGATAATGATGACCTGATATTGTTCTGAGGGGTGCAGTTAGAATCTCGAGATTTTCATGGGAATTTGTTTCATTTTCGATTAAATAGGCTTAAACTAAAATAACGTAAAAATTGTAAAATGACTCTTTTTTTTACTTTCGCGACAATTTATATTTTATTGCACCTTTTATTTTTCCTGTATAAAAGACACGGTTTTATGTTTACGATCCTTTTGTAGGGTAGTAATAAATTAAGTTGAATCACGATACTCAGAATATGATCCTAGTTATTTTCGATTTTGGCAAAGTGCCAAAACTTTTTTATTATTTTACTCATAACTTTCAATCTTTGATTCCTCCCTGTCTGGTTTAAAGATTATAAATAAATTATGCAGTATATATTGGCATATGTTTTGGATTTTTGCTGCAAGTCATTCTTCTAGCTTACACCTTTCTTATTTTACTTATAACTCACTAATCTTTAATTAGTGTTGTTAAAAAGCCCGCTGGTCGATTTTAAAAACCGGCCCGATTAAGATTTTAACCAAAATAAAATTACGTAAGCCTAAAGATTTTGCACATAGCTGATAGAATGAGTATCTCTCTGCTAAATCTCGATGCTTACATAATATTATTTTAGCTAAAATCTTAATCGGGCCGTTTTGAAAAATCGACCCAAATCGGGTTTTTTAACAACACTACCTTTAATTGCTAAGGTGTCTGGTTTGAAGATTATTTAGGCCAAATTAGACACTAAATAGTGCTATAATTTTTAAATTTTGCTGAATTAGTATATGTTGTTGTCTAAAATATCCATGTTGGTTTAGTATTAAATTTGTAGTCTATAAAATTTTTCTCTATCTTTACTCATAGCGAAATATTGAACATCAATATAAATAATCACTAAAGTTTTTACAAAAAAATGTTCTTATATGTATATAAGTTTAACAAAAAATGTTCTTTATATATCCATTGAAAAATAAATAAATCATAAAAAAATAATCAATCGTAAAATGAAAAAAAAATGTTCTTCGTTTAAAATTAAATTTAACTTAAGTGATTTATTCATTCATACATTTAACTTATCTATTATGTTTCATATTCGATCAATTTATTATTAACCTATTAAATTATTAATATAATAATAAAGATGTTTAAATTCATAGTTAGTTAGTTCTTAAAATTTTAAATAAAATAAAATTTTAAATATGGTGGCAAGCTGACTCCAAGGGTTCTTCCTTTTTACTTGAAGAGGTTCTTCCTTTTTCTATGAAGGTGATCGTAAACTTATAATATCAGTTTGGATAAATAAAGTAAAAGGATATTTATAAAATAAAAATATAATAAAAAATATAAATGTTTTGTTTCAATATTTTGTTTGATAAAAGAAACTAAATAATAAAAAACAATTTAAAAATTATATAGTAAATTTTTACATAAATTTAGTAAAACTTTTTTATAAAAAGAAAATGTCTTTTCCCAAATTTAAAGGTGCTATGCATTCATATAATTTAAAAGTTAGCGATATCTTTGCAACAAGCAAACTGAACAGTAGATATAAGGCACTTTTATTAACTAATAATTTACCCGATAGTATCTATAGCAAAGTTAGGGCCACATCGACAGATGAGGAGTTTAAGTCTCCAGACGCTTTATTAGAATTTTACAAAAATAAGGGCATAAATCTTATTAATATATAAATTATTCTACATAAAATTAACACATAATTCATGATGATAATGTATATTTAAAGAAATTCTAGTAACTTAGGAAAACAGTGATAATGCAAATATACCTATAATATCACATAATGAAATCTTAAAAGAATATTATAATAACTATAAAAACAATGGTGTGTAAACCTTATAAATAAAAAAAAATCAATACTCATAAAATTAACGAGTGAAATTCTTGAAGATTGTATATTATTTAAAGAAATTCTAGTTAATAAAGAAAACTATGATAATAATAGAAATATAACACATAATGTAAATAAAGTGGATGAAATTCCCAAATATAAAATTTTGAAAATAGTTGAATCCAAATCATATTTTAAGGATAAAATTTATGAAGAAAATAGTATTTATAATCGTATTTCAATTAAAGATGAAAGGATTCAAATTTAAAAATTCATTGAAATTTTAAGGAGGGAGAAACTCTATTCTCTGCTTTTCTTCTTTGATCAATATATTTCATTAAAAATAAAAACTTTAATTTATAAATAAAATTTCGAAGTTATCATCAAATGTAAAATTGATAAAATATGATTAAGCTTATATAAAATTAAAATTACTAAAAGGTGATATAGCTAACACGCGCCAAATTAATATTAAATAAACTTTAAGATGAATATAAAACACGACTACAATTAAAATACATGTAAAACGCAATTTCTATAAATTAATTATTCCGACATAATTCAATAATTCCCATTCATTCTAAAATCATTCACATACTGGAAATCTTCGCACATATTCAATAACAAATAATGATAATATATAATGAGAACGAGGACAGATAGGATACGTACTATAGAAGGATGAGAACGTTAACGTCAAATAAAGTGGACAACAAGCAAGCAAACCGTTAAGCAAAGATTTGAGCAACTTGCGCGCAAAATCGAAAACATACAACGATTTTTTTTAATGCCCAGCGAGAACCTAGGCGGGGCTCTTTTCCATCAGCTTCAAAGTGAAATAGAACTGCTTCTAGTTCCCTTTTAGAGGTATCGGCAGTGATTCCTATAAGCAATTCAGGATTAAAAATAGTTAATGTTGGAGGTTGATTATCAATAGTTTTAACTCGTCGAAACTTTTCTTGTGTTCATTTTTCCATGGCCATTCCTATATGTTTATCATCTAATATAATGAATTGGCTAAATGCACGAAATTGTTTAAAAATTTTCTGTAATAACTGGCCATGCCCAGAAATGTTGTGAGTTCGTCCTGAGATTTTGGCTCCGGCATATTGGTTATAGCTTTGATTTTGTCTCGATTAGGGTGTATACCCTCTGCGTCAATGTCATGTCCTAAAAATCTGACGTTGGTTTGCATGAATACGCTTTTTGCAAAATTGGGCGTGAGACCATGTTTTAATATTCTTTCAAAAACTTTATTTATGTTTTCTGTATGTATTTCGTCGCTCTCATCCTTTATTAAAAGATCGCCAATATAAAATAAAACGTTAATATAAACTAAAAATAAAATCTTTTTTTATAAGAATAGATATGAACGAATTTGATATAATCGAAAAATTTAGGTTAATATTTAAAAGCAATTTTATTAAAGTTATATAAATACAATATTTTTATATGTGGTATTACATCAGACATCAAATATATACTTATTAAAATCAATTGACCATAATATATGGTATTAAATAGACGCCTCCAACAGTAAAATATAAACATTTAAATCATGTAACTAAAAACATTTAAATATTATTTTACAAACATGTAACTAAAATATAAACAATTAAGTATTATTTTACAAACATGTAACTACAAAAATAATTCTTTTTAATATATTAAATTAAAGATTTAGATAGTCTGTCGTAATAAATTAAGTTAAATCACTATTACCCTAACACTTCACAATTTTAAAGGAGAATTACCCTGCCAACGATTCTACCAGGTGGCAATGGCAATTCGACCCAATTACAATATTATGTGCTTTAATAAACAACTGATTTTCATTATATATCAAGAAAATTTTAATTATCGAACAGACATTTATTTCATAAATTACTAAGAGGAAATTAATCTTATAATTAAAAACAAAAATCCTTCCGAACATTTACGAATATAGGTTCATTTAAGATTCTGGTTCAGACAAAATAAAACTTATCCGTGAGGTTTGTTTTGTATAAAATATTAATATAGGTTTGTTTTGGATTTTTAAAAACCGAATTGAACCTTCATATTAGGGATGCAAAATCGCTTTGAGCCAACTTTTAAAAACGGCTAACTCGATATTTTTTCAGAAAAATATTACCTAAGCCTCCAGGGCCATCTGTAAAAATTTTCAGGCTTGCTAATATTTTTCTGGATAAAACACTGAGTTAGCCGTTTTTAAAAATCGGTTTAAATGGAATGATTTTGCATTACTACTTCACATATACACTTTTAAAAATTATTTATATTTATAGAGAAGCATATTTTTCAAATTTATCAATCTCTAAAACTCATTTATAAAGCCACTAACGTTTTATTATTATTGCATCTGTAAAATAAATAGTATTTATTAACTATATAACATAAATAATTATTTTTACTGTTAAGCCATTTAAAATATTATCAAGCTTCTCTTCCCTCAAATTATATCTATAAAAAACTAATATTTCTATGGTTAAGATATATGCATTTATTTGGGTAGCTGGCACCGTCAAGATTGATTAATGATTATTTTTGAAACAGTTATAAGGTCCAAAAGTCAAAAGATTCGGTTCAGATTCAAGTGACAAAATATATAATGGCTCAGGTTCGATACGAGTTCGGTAAATTATACCGGTTTAACGGTTGAGGTTTGGTTTAAATTCAGAGTTCCCTATAATTATTCGTTATATTTACTTCTACCTGGTTAATTTATTTTATCTTATATTCAAAGGTCCTTATAGATATAATTTAAACAAGATCTATTTTCTGATTAATTTTATTATAAATGAGAAAATTGACATAATGGCTATACAGGAACTTATAGTTTGGATACCCAGAAAGCAGTATTTGGAGATTATTTTTGATACCAACAAAAAAGAAGTTGTTCGGATATAGAGTAGTGTTAAGCAAATACAAATAAATTAACAAATTTACTCTTCTTTCATAAAGATTCATTAATTTATACATTAACACAAATAAAAACCCACGAGACTACTGATAATGAAGCCCCCCCCCCTTCGCAGATTTAACCATTTGAGGAGCAGAAATTAATAAAGTTTTATTTTTATTTATATAAATAATTTAATATAATATAATTTACATTTTTCAAAAATATTTTAAATAAATAAGAGGTATTATATTTGTACCACCTCCTCCAGCCACATCAGGAAGAGTAGTAATTTCAAAAAATAATTAAATAAAGAGGAATTTGCATTGATTGCACCTCCATCTTGTTAAATTAATGGTTTTAAAAATATAAAATCTTATCTTTTGACCTATATGATTAACTCCTGTTTTCGAATATAAACATTATATAACTTGCGTAGTAAATTGGACTAATTAAAAACATATTGGTGGTTTCAGATAGAGTAGCTCGCGCTAATGGCAGAAATATGATTATATTTCAAAAATGCATTGTGCCCCTCAAAGGGTTAAAGATGAATTTTTTCTTCCTGTTTCATCTAAAGAACATCATGGGTTATTGCCCAGAAAATATAATTTTATTATTCTGAGCGATCTATATAATAATTAGATAAAAATTTAATTGGAAAAATATTATAGGCAATGCCATTATATTGCACAAACTTTATAAAACTTACATTTTCTGAACGAAGTTCATTTCAAAGATTTTCTTTTTATATGAGAGTTGGTTCATAGATTTCAAGTAATAACATAGCAACATCTCTTATAATAAAATGGCGAGAAAGTATTTGGTGATTAAAGAAAAGAAAACATGTTGAAAAAAATAACCATTGTTAAACCACCCAACCAAAACATATAATCTTATTTATCACTATAAAAACTATTTTATTTTTTTAAATTTTCTTAGGGAATCTCATAATTATCATATATTTGTAATATAAAAAGGCAATGGTTAAAAAGAAGGAAATCAACTGTCCAAAAATTTAATTGAAATTTAAATAGACACTCTTTTAATTTCGACTGAACTTTTTATGTTTTTCAAGGAAATATTTATTTAATACAGGATTGATGTAGATGAGATCAATTTTAATATTGCAACTAATATTATTTTTACTGTGTATATTTCACAAATAATTGTAAATGCGTGATAATAGCATATAATACTTGAAGTGAAAATTTGTATATAAATATATTTTATTATATCATATGAGACAATAATATAGATACAAATAAATAGAGAGCAAACATGAAAATAACATTTTTAAAAATATATACCCAAAAATAAATAAACATTTATTTTTAAATATTCACACTGATACTAATACATTATAAAGAAAATAATATATGTACATATAATCAAAAAATATTTACCTTAAAATTCTTTCCAAAACCTATGCTTAATCAGTATTATCTTTCATCAGAAATTGGCCACCGACCGATTCAACTGATTACAATTTTATCAACTTCAAATTCCATTCTAACATAACGATTAAAATTCTATAGTAATAATATCAAGATGTGATAAAGCAAGTAAAATAATAATTAATATTTTTGCAGATACGAATTTGATGCTAGATGCGGAGTTCCCCCTTTTCATATGAAAAATAAATTTTATAACTTAAGGTTGATATTAGACGCTTAGTCTGACATCTCAAGCTTTGGATCAAACCAGGATCGAAGTAACCTGCTACACCAAAGTTCAAATATCTAAACTCTCAGCCACCTAATGTTTAAAATATAGAAATATTTTAAATATAAAAATTTATTAAATATTAATGCAATTATAATTCACACAAACGGAAAATAATTTCTATTTAAAAGATTTTTTTTATACGCTCACTTAAGAGGAATGGCTGTTACTATAAAATAACGTCTTTTCAACTAATTTAAAAAAAATAAGTCTTTTAAATGAATTGAACAATTGGGTTCATATAATTGGTTAAATGTTGGTCACTTTGCTCCCTCTAGTCAAGTGGTTGTAAAATGTTTTACAACACTCAAATAACGGTTAAAGTGATATTCACATTAATTGATTTATTACTGATAGTGTTTATAAAAAAAATCTGTCATATTTCATAAATACTTGTAAACACCCCTTATTTATCAACTATTTTAATTAATGAAAGGCAAAAAATATTATTTTTTTTAATTTAAGTTATCATTGGGATTCTGCAAATTGCAAATAGAAAGAAAGAAAAAAGAGATTAAGAGAATGCCTAAAATAAGAAACCATATTATTATAATTCAATAAATTGGCAATTTATTAAAGAAAATTTCTTGAAGGGTCTGTACATCCTCAAGATATACAGATGATTCCAATTCAAAACGCTGACAATTTTAATATTGTTTTATTTTTACGGGTTAAACTTGATTTTATCATTATTCTTTTTAATGATAAAGTAGTGAGTGTATTACGTTTCAAAATTCAATGATGCAATTATATGTAAGGAAGATTATTTTAAACGTCATTCAAATTAAAATTTAATCAATCTTTTCATTAAACATATTTTTACTTTCTTTCATTTATATAAATAACTCTTATATCATTCTGATTCATAGTAGAATCTAATTCTTAATGTTTTGTTTTATACTTAATATATTTAATTGAACTGTATGAATCTCCAAGCGCGATAATGGATTTATTTAACATTAACTATCACATTATATTCTTCGGTAAAAAAATGAATAAATATAGTTTCATTTGCATATCTTACTTTTAAATTTTGATAGGATCGATGGCAGTTTTAATGGTTTATCAGATACTCATTGGACACGGAGCGACTCTGGTCAGCGCATTCACAGGATTTTTATACCCGGTTTATTCCTCGTAAGCATCTATAATATCTTATTGTACACAATTTAAAAAAGGAAGTTTATCTTAAGTTCTGTTATGGAGGGATATTAAAACCCCAATGGTCTCATAATATTATAGGTAGAGAACTTTTATAAATAGATATATTTTTCTATCAATCGTGAGGATCAAGGGCATCCATAAACTTTTTCAGTGAGGAGAGCATACATTTATTTTGGATACGACTATAAAAAAGGTTTTGTTTATTGCAAGAAAACATTTAGTGTGCTATGTTAATAGTGTAATATAAGTTTAATGTTTAACTAAAAGCTTTGGTTTTTGTTTTTCCACAAACCATGTTCGTTTCTTCTTATAAAATTAGTTATTTAATATTGTTTATTTAAATTATACATAAACATATTATCTTTATAATATGTTCCTAATAATAAATTTAATTAACTGAATAAAATTCAAATAACTGGAAAGATGCATCTATTAATAATCTACAGGCCTTATTTTTCAAGCCCGGCTTGGCTAAAAAAAATTTTCAAAAAGATTTCTCCGGTCCGACTCGATCTCGAACGAATTTTTATTATTTATCCAGAAAAACCAGAAATTATAATGTCCGGCTGGCCCGACCTGAATTTATTGTATAGAAATTCATTTTTTTAAAGTTTTTGAATAATTATATTTCAAAATTTAAGCCCGACCAAATTTTTTTAAAATATATTAAGTCTGACCAGTCCGAACTAAATTTTAAATATTAAGTCCGACCCGTCTGAATCTAAATTTATCCTATTTTAGTAGATCCAGCAGCTATATTATTGAAACACGATTTAAACAATTAAATTTCTAGCCATATTTTTCATTTTTTTAGAAGGGGCATCTGCCTCTTTGGTAATGCCTCATGGGCTATTATAAAGATAAATGTTATATTCAGTAGTCTTGAGTTCATATAGTGATTTTATTATCAAATTTTTTTTGAAAAAAGAAATGAACGATGTTAAAGTTAAGTTAATATTTTATAATTGGTAGCTTATTTTATCTTAGTTAATATTTTAATTAATCAAAACAAGTGAACCTTAAAAATTTTTTTTTTACGCACGAGTTTATTCATTTAAAATCAATTCAAAATATTTTAAAAAGAGTAAGAATGATTGAAGGCAAAGATGAAGAAGGAGCCAAAAAATGGCTAGCTTATTGGGTAGTGTACGCATCTTTCAGCTTTTGTGAATATCTGTGTGGAACGTTTTTAGAATGGTTCATGATGTATTATTTGTTTAAGGTAATATAGAAATACATTTATAACATTCTCTCTTTTTTAGCGTAATTATTTTAGTCTTTATATTCCCAACTATTAACATTTTTATTATTTTCTTTTCAATATGAAACATTAATTCACAATTATTTGTTAAAGTAGCACGTTACTTTTTTTGTAACTATACTAATATCGCGCTACTTCTTGAAAAGCAGCGATAATTTTATTCTAACCTTATCATATATTCTTAATAGAAAAATTATTAAATTGATACTTCATGTCTAATTTAGCTTTAGAAATTTGCCTAAAATATATTGAAGAAGGCTAAATTTCCACCCACGATCAAATTTTGTGGTGAAGAAAAAGAAACATTATGATAAGGTCAAATTGACCTGATAAAGGAATTGCATTTGTTATAATTGATAAGGTCACAGACTGAAATGATTTCCATATAGAATTACAAAACTATAATATATTTAAAGATTAATTCCTTAGAAAACATTATTAACTCAACCAAAATTATCTTATTTTTTATATTTGTAAATTTCAAAAAGATAATGATGCCTAAACTTGCTGTATCTCTCCGTATATATGGTTTATCCAAAGTTCATAAACAATATTCTAATTTTATTACAAAAGAGATATAATTAATTTTTATCAATTTTTTTTATTCAATAAACGTGAAAAGTGTGAAAAATATAACCATAGTAAAATATCACACTAGTCTTGATAAGTTATTAAAATAGAAAATATTTAAAATAGAGATGGATGCCACCGATGATATAAACTAAAATGCATTAGATGAGTTCTTTTAATTCTTAATAATAAATTTAAAATATGATGTGCTTTGTAGATTTATTTAGATAAAGATCATCAAATTTTATGATTCATAATAGCAACTTTTAAAAAGTTTATTTTCTAGTTTGTTTATCATTATACATAATATGTTTTTGAAGAATTGCGTTAAATAACATTCTTTACATAGTTAGATAAATCATTCAGAATTGTAATATAATAACTTTTTTATTCTTTCTACTTATTATTACAATTACAATTTAATTATTCATGATAAAATAAATTACATTTTTCTTTTTTTTATTAATATGAATTACATTTTTTTATAAACCAAAAAAAATGTTCCTTTTATATCTTTTTAAAACAATAAATAAATTATGAAATAACCAATTATATAAAATGAAAATGTTCGTTTAAATTTGAATTTAAATTGATAAAATAAACTCGATCACTTATTTAAGTTAATACGATAAAATAAAACGTTAATATAAAATAATCTCGATCACTTATTTAACAGTTTTATCTTTTATATCCATGATATTTGGGATATATATCATACAGACTAGGCATTTAAAAAGAATAAAATATAAATAAAAATTCTACGTTTTCCCTTATTAATGACGGGTAAATTTTTAAAATTGTTCTCTCTGTTGCAATATTGGAAAATGAGGATATTCCAGTACAATCTTCAGCCAATTATATATTTTTTATTATTATAAATAACGTAAAAATTAATGAAACTACTTTTTACAAATGGAAGCTTTTACTGCGCTATTTTAAAAAATAATTAAATCGCGGTAGTGGCAACGGTATTTTCAAAAGTAGGATTTAACAACACTAACCTCGCCTATATTAATATAGATAAACCATTTTAAAAAAAAATTAATTTATCTCTGAATATATTATCTCATTAGGTATGTTTCTTGGTGTGGTGCTTGTTGCCTATCGAAAATAATGGGTCAATGATAATATACAATCAAGTCATAAAACCTTTACCTTTGTTTAGAAATTCGGAGGCCGCTGTGGATATTAATGCATTGAGAGTAAAGAAAATATTACAGGATAGTTTGTTCGGTATATTAATATTTAAAAACATTTTTTGAAAAATTTCTTTTAACTCTTTTTTCAAAAATTATTAGAACTTATATTAAAACATTATCATTGATATTTGGCCTATTAACCCATGTTTTTTCAGTTATCTTTAAAAATATTCAATGACATCGCTAGAAGAAAAGGGGGGCGGGGGGTGTTTATTATGCCTCAATTTAATATATACGCTGAAACATTTATTTGTTTTTGGACCACATCTGAAATAAAAATATGTAATTCTTTTAGGTAACAACATTGGAAACAAGGTGTTGAACCAAACTGCAAAATAAAACGTTTCAATTTTTTGATAACTAAGCTATTATAAGAAAATTTAAAAATCAAGAATTAACAATTTTTTTAGAAATCCGGATAAAATAGATTGGTGTTTTGGAAATCATTTCTTACCAAACTTTGTTAATTTTTTTATTAGTCGTTGAGTGTATAGTTGTAATAAGGAAAGATAATTCCCTGGAAAAACAACCTGCAATTTTTAAAACATATATTTTCCGGGTGAGATATTTTATTATTTTCAACCTCGATAATAATTGCTCGTGAAAAAATAAAATTATTTCAAAATCATAATTCTAAAGTTCAAATTGGTAAACAATTAATATAATAAAGGTAAGATTTACGAATTTAACTTTTACATTAAGAAACAAGAAACGTAACATGCTGGTAAAATTATTTATATACCATATTAGTCAAGTTCTAATTTTTTTTTATACAATAAAGAAAACATAATTAAATTATCAAGATATTTAATAAGAAAGTAATATAAATTAACACTTATATTTTATCAAATCGGATATCGATGGTTTATTTTTAATGTCATCATAATTAAAATAACAGTAATAATGCATTATAATATTTAATCCGCAAAGCGTTTATTTTTAATATTTTTTATTTAATATCATGATGTAAAAATATAAAATAATATCATAAGCTAGTTTATGGATAAATTATAGTGTACTAAATCATGAATTAAAATACTGAAATAAAATATATTTACTGAGAAATCGATTAAAGTACTGAAGAAAGATATATTTACTGAAATTTTTATAATTAACCTTAAGATACTGAAATATAATTATTTATAATGGAAAAATTAATAAAATACTGATAATTTCGAATAAAATACTGATAATTTCGAATAAAATACTGATAATTTCGAATAAAATACTGATAATTTCGAATAAAATACTGATAATTTCGAATAAAATACTGGATAAATATAACCGAATAAAATATCTTAATTTAGATAACGCACTTATTTTTTTTAGAAATAGTTTTCTTAGACACCTGCCTAATAAGGTAATGCAAAACCATATGGGTTAAAAATTACGAAATGATAAAAGTATTTGTCAATAATTATAATAAAATAATCAATGAATTTGTTGGCATAGACCATATTGAAGCAAATGCAACATAATATTTCAAGTAATATAATCCAATCTGATCATGAATCTGCAGAAATGGTTTATAGAAGTAAAGCAATTTGCTGAGAATCCTAATTAAAAATTCTTCATTAACATTTCCATATGAAAAATTAAGCAAACCATTCATCCAAATAAGAATCAGGATTTTTCAAGGGCAGGTGGCAAGGTTTGTTTCCCAATAATTTTATCGGAGGCCTTTAGGTTTACTTATTACAGGCCTTTGGCTATGTTATATATTTTTCTAAAATTTGGTTTTTCACTTCTTCCTTTTTTTACAAGAGATTAAAATTTATCCTATATCTTAAAATCCAATTTCATCTCTTAATTTTATCAGAATTAATCCAAGATACAACCTTTTTAGGATCCATCAAGCAAGCTTTTATAATGGCTTTATCTTTACAAATTACTTCTTGTACAAATCTAGTTTTACTATAATGAATAATAAAACATGTAAAAAATTATCTATGATCAACAGTATGGGATTAGGGATTGTTATTTATGCATATTCAGTATCCATTTGCCCCGAATCTTGGGCGGAGAAAAATTATGTTCAGATATTTTATCACTATTTTTACAAAAAACATTTAACAAAATTTTTTATACGAAATTTTTTTTAATAAATTTTCCTGGGAGAATTTTCGCAAATGCTCTTGGAATCAAACCTTTATATATTCTTCGCATCGGTTTTAACCAATTCATAGCAGTTTTTGAGATTATTTTATAATTGTTATTATTTAAAATAATTAAAAAATAATTGGTATACAAATTTATATGTGGTTATGTTATATTACTTGTTTTATACAGGATTTCCCATTCAAAAAAGAAAAAGTCTCAATCAAAAAAAGGAAAAGTTCCAATCATAAAAGGAAAAGGTCTGATCAAAAAAGGAAAAGGGTCAATCATAAAAGGAAAAAGTTCAATCAAAAAAGCAAAAGTGTCAATCGAAAAAGGAAAATTCCCAAAAGGAAAGGAAAATTCCCATTCAAAAAGGAAAATCGTAATTTTTTTAAAAAAATTAAAAAAATATAAGAAATTATTTGTGTAAAATAAAAAAGTTCGTTCTTCCAAAAAAATGAAAGAAGAACTAAAAAATTATATAAAAAATTACAAATATATATCTTTCTTTTTTTCATAACAAACACGCATTTACAGTTATTAAACAACAAACTTAAATAATCTTGAACTTTACTTAATCTAAATAAATCTTTTTTATTCATTTTTCTTTAACTCATTTGAATTATAACTCTCTATACTTTTTAAATCAAAGTTTTAATTTTATCTTCAGACTCTTAAGTAAAAAAAAAAACTTATCTTCACACTTACTCTCAAATAATAAATTTAATTTCTTACTCTAATACTAATATCTTCGCGTTAATCCTGGATTGATAATACGCTTGTTAAATTTTATTTCTTTATTTAATACAAAAATTAAATTATTTAAAAAGTGAGAAAAAATTTATAATCCACATAAAAAAATGGAAAAAAATTCAACAAAAAATTATTGGCGTTGAATTTTTTAATACAGGGTTTCCCATTCAAAAAAGGAAAAGTCCCATTCAAAAAAGGAAAGTCCCAATCAAATAAGGAAAAGTTTTAATCATAAAAGGAAAAGGTCCTATCAAAAAAGAAAAAGGTCCAAACAAAAAAGGAAGAGGTTCAATCAAAAAAGGAAAGGTCCAAACAAAAAAGGAAAAGTGTCAATCAAAAAAGGAAAATTCCCAAGAAAGAAAAAAGTCCGATCAAAAAAGGAAAAGTGTCAAACAAAAAAGGAAAAGGTTCAATCAAAAAAGGAAAAGTGTCAAACAAAAAAGGAAAAGGTCCAATCAAAAAAGGAAAAGTGTCAATCGAAAAATAAAAATTCCCAAAGAAAAGGAAAAGTGTCAATCAAAAAAGGAAAATTCCCATTCAAAAAAGGAAAATCGTAATTTTTTAAAAAAATTATAAATTTTCAATTTTTCTTAAATTTTTATTTATTTTGTCATTCCTTCTTATTTTATTTCTAACTTTTTGCGATTTCTTTACTTTATTTGTATCTTTTCTCAATTTATTTATCATACTATATCTTTCTTTTCTCAATTTTTTTTCTTCTCATTTTTGAAAATTCTTTTGTATTTTTAAAAATAATTTATAAATTTAGGTCCATTTTTTAACAATTCTTTACTTTTTTTTTTCATCATACATATTTCGTAATTTATAAAGGGATCATAACTATACGGGATCTTCACGGGATTTAAAGGGATCACTTTAAAATTACAATTTTTTAAAGTATAAAGAACTATACGGCATATTACGTTTGAACCATGATATAGGAGAATCATATTTTAAAAAGCGTTTTCCGCGCGTTTCGTTTCGTTTTTTAATTTTTTTGTTATTCATTAATTTTTAATGTTGTTTTTTTTGGCCTTATGTAATAAGATATGTCTAATGGGCATCAATCGATAGCTAATCAAAAGATCTATTCAACTGGAGGTCAATCTCTCCCCCATAATGGGCTGGTCTAGGTCTTGGGGGGGGGGGGGGGTGAGAAATATTTTTATTACACAAAATATCGATAAAGGTATATAATAAAAACTAATTTTATTATGGTTTGACTGAAAGTCTTCATTCTTGGTCTGGATGGGCATGACCTGGTCTGAGGGTGGAGGGGGGGCTGTATGGAGTGGTGGGAGAGGGGGGTGTAAAAAATATTTTTTTTTGATATGGGTATCAAATAAAAGTTAATTAATATCGTTTGACTGAAAGTCTTTATTCTTGGTCTGGATGGGTATGACTTGGTCTGGGGGATATGGGTAGAGGGAGGGGGTGGGTGTAAAAAATAATTTTTTTTGATATGGGTATCAAATAAAAGCTAATAAAAATATTTTTTATTGTAATAATAATAATCTCTCATAGAGGGCGGGTCTAGGTTTTAAGGGGTCAGGAATATTTATATCATCACAAAACATCGATATGGGTATCAAATAAAATCTAATTTAAATATCTTTAGATTAAAATTATTCATTTTTTGTCTTGATGGGTATGACTGTCAGGCCCTCATACAGGGTTTCCCATTCAAAAAAGGAAAAGGTCCAAGCAAAAAAGGAAAAGTTTCAATCTTAAAGGGAAAATTCAGTAACGAGGAAGAATTAATTCGTTTCATAGAACATGGAGAAAGAGGAATATCTGAGGAAAATGCCAAAAATTATCTTAGAAATATGGAGACCTATATTCCAAAATGTAGAAGGGGAGAAATTATTAATGATTAATATAAATTTTTGTTTTTTACGATATTAAATATATATCGTAATTGTAATTAAATAATTTGATATGTAATAATTATAATAAAAATAATGTCTGCCAAAAATTTAGTGATATACTTAAAAGAATTATCAAAAATGAGAAGAAAAAAAATTGAGAAAATATATAGTAAGAAAAATAAATTGAGAAAAGATACAAATAAAGTAAAGAAATCGCAAAATGTTAGAGACAAAATAAGAAGGAATGACAAAAATAAATAACATTTAAGAAAAATTGAAAAATTTATAATTTTTTTAAAAAAAATTATAAAAA